TTCTTTCGACATATATGCTGAGTTGTGGGATTTTGGTTGGTTCGTCTCCAGAGTTTCTTGTTGCCGGTTCTTTCTGTCCAGCCATCTGATTTTCAGTATAGAATCAGCTAGAGCACGTACCGGTAAAATCATTTAGCTACAACTGCAACCGTGTCATCTGTAGCTGAAGCGATGCTGCCTGGCCAGATAAGTGATTGAAGTGATCGCTTCTAAATTTCTTCCGTGTTTAGTGATTGCTGCTTATTGTAGTTGCTGTCGGTTGGTTATCTTCATCTCCGCTGTCGTCTGCATGTTCAACTGAATTTCTGTCTTCAATGCCTCCTTCTTCTTTCAGTGTGTTGGTTTTCACGTGTAGGTTTTCAAATCTGTGTGATACAAGACATAAACGGTCAGCGGGGTCCAGGCTTTCTGAGGACTGTTAATTGGTCCAGCGTATTCCTGTCTTCTCGCTCTCCGGGCACGCTGCGCCGCATAATCCAGTCCATCACAATCAAAAGTATCGTCAGTGATATTAGACTCTCTTATTTTATTCCTGTCTTCAATTTAAAGACTTCTTTCCATTGTGGATCACTTGACACTTTCTATCGTCATTAATATCATATATTGAATGTCGCCATATTTACCAAAAATATTAAAAACCAGTAAATTTGTTCACGTCTCATGTTTTTTTGCCATTTCCATCGATAAATTTTGACTACTACCTAAGTTGGTTTGCGCGTCTCTTAGTCTCCTTTGGTTACACATAAATCATTAAAATGTGACTGTTACCACCGTCACAGTGAGTAATCACAGTGATAGCCCCAAGGTAGTCAAAAGTTGTCTGGCACATCTCATATTTATTAGTGACATTTAGTATTTAGTATGTTTCCTGGAGTTCTAAGTGGGATTCGTGACCAATGAGGTCTGTCCAGTCAAGTATGAGAATGGATTTCCCACCGATGACATTGTTTGGTTCCAGTCGCGCTAAATCACGAATTGGTAGAAGTTAGAATCCATGGGCTGGCCATTGAATCGGGTCTAGTGGCTGAGTGGTATACGAACTTGCTTTATAACCGGAAGGACCTGGATTCGAACTTTCTGTGGCGGGTGTTTACTAGTGGGATGAAACAGCTGGCTGTCCAGTACTCTCTGTGGGCTGGTTTTCACTGGTTCTCTAATTGATATCAATCCGCGAAAACAAATCCAATCCTTACAAACCAACTCTTAAAATCGAATAGCCTATTTTATTGAACAATCAGAAGCTAACAGGGAAATCCTGGAATCAAGTACCACTCATTTTGTTATCCGTTAACCAATGGTCAACAAACGTCTTGAAATATGAAGGTTAACATGAGATACACATCATTAGAATGGTCATTTTCTCAGCCTATATGCAGATTAATCCACAGAAGGATTTAAAATTCACAAATATCCGTCACTTCCACGACTACCAGTTGCAAAAATTTTATCATACACAAAACTTCTGGTTGACAATTTTTCTCAAATTCTTATAGTATACACAGAAATGCTGCAACATTGTTCGACTAATACTCAGATTTAATAGCATGCAAAGAAAGCTTTATGTTTTCCATAATTTGAAATAATCGCCGCGTCTTTTCACACGCAATCGCCATGAAGTGAATTTAAACAAAAGAAAATCAATAATCGTCATAAACCTATCCGTGACTATTAAATAAACTTTATAATGTATAATTCATTAATATCATTCCTGAAAAGATGATGCATTAATAAATTACAACTGATTAAATAAAAAAGAGGAAGTAATCGATCGTTTCTTTTGGGGGGAAATAATCAATCTATCCCATTTGATTTATTATTAATCACTATCGCCATTATCATACATTTTGTTGACATTACTCTTTCTACAGGCTCCTTGTGTAAACATTATACATATGTACGAATCGATTGCGCATAACTGTTGAATATTTAATGTAAGCTGAAATGGACGTAGTTCTTACTCAGTTCCACAGATTCACAAGTTATTTCTAACTAGATTTGATGAAAACTCACATGAGTTATTTAATTTAAGGGAAATTTATTATTATTATCATAGGGCTTCAGCTGTACGTCTCCATTGTGTTCCATTCTCTGCCAACGTTTTCATCACCTGGATCCATGTTTGCCCACATGCTTTCATCTCTACTTCACATCACCTCCTCCTCCATTTCACCCTGGCACTGACGACCAGCTCGCCGCTTCCCATTCGCCTTCCACTTGAGTGATGGCATGTACTGCGTGTGATGTCACTTAATGGTTAGAGTATGGCCAATCCACCTCCATTTCTTCCTGCATATTTCTTGCACTATCGCTTCCTGTTGGGTTGGTTTGCTCATTGCCAGAGATTCCTCAGTATTGCTGATGTTTTCTGGCCGGCCAACTGATCTTGAGCAAAGTACTGAGCGAAGACAGTTGTTGATGGAGGTCTGTAGTTTGTTCAAACTGCTCTTCATGACATTCCAAATCTCTCATCCATAAAATAGCACCAACTTCATTTATGAGTTGAAAATCCGAATCATATTTTTCATGCATAGTGCTGTTGACTTCCACACGAACATGAGACATACATCTTTGGAAACATCGTTTTCATTGCTAGAAAAATATACACCATATTTAAGTGGTTGTAAATCTTGCAAAATCTTGAATCGATTGAATCAACGCCCAGTGGCTGAATGGCTTAAAAACTTCCCTTGCAACTGGTAGGTACTAGGTTTGAACCTTGATGGATGAGTACTATCGATGAGTCCCAAAATAGGACGAAAGAGCTGTCTATTACTTTTTGGTTCGTGATGGCTTTCTAACTGATATCAGTCCCTGTCTAACCTGAACACCTTTTCTTTGACAAATGAATTAGTTTCCACGTTTTGTCTTTATAACCTCTAAAGAGTCTCAAATTAGGACGAAACACCTGCCCAGTACTCCCAGGTTTTCTCATAGTCCTCTAACCGATGTCAGCCGATGTAATGAGGTCCAGGAGGTCAATCAAATCCCAGCAGACCAACATTTGACTACCAATGGTTTTTGTTTAACACTCTGTACACCATAGCGTTCAGTGATAAGGTGTTGGAATGATACATATAGCTAGTCCGCATCTACCTGGCACATCTGTAACTCTTAAATCAGATCACAAAATGTCGGTAGTCAGTTTTGAACAGAAATGATATCCTGAAAAACTACTAACACTACATACAGCGAAACAAACCAAACAGTAGAGATTGCTAGCCGTATCAAGGTTATCTAAGTGCCATGCAGATAGATGTTCTTAATAGTGTACTTGAAGTGACCCAACCAGAGAAACAAATTGATCTTTTTCTTAAAAAACAATCCCATTAAAATCACTTTTGTCTGACCAGTAAGAACTACTGGATAATAATAATAATAACAATTTGCTTTATTCCAGAAACAGTACTAGTGGTACAGTGTGGAATTTTCAGCACATATCTCCAATATTTGCATCTAATTTTAGCAAACATTTAAAAGGAGTATTTCAAAAAAATATATAAAGACACCAACAGCAAAAAAACATGAAAAACACAGAAATAATTAGAAAAAATGCGAAAAAATACCAAGAAGTAGAAAGGAAAATAAACAACATATAATAATATCTCAGTATTGTGTAGTGGAAGCTATGATATGATTATGCATAGTGACAGTAAAACTGTAGTCATACAAAAAGTTATGAAATGATATTTGAGAATGTTTATCGCCAGGAAGATCGGTTAATTTGGTTGAAACAACTCTAAACAATCATAAAATAACACATCAGGGTTGTTTTGTTTTTTTATTGTCAGGTCTAATGCATTGTTTGTCGTGGTAATGTGAGTAATCCTGCATAATACAAAGTTTTAAAGATTGTGATAATGGCTTTCACAACCAAGATTGTCAGTTAATATCGCCGAACAAAAAAACAACAACAACAACCATAAAACTAATAATTACATGATGGTTAATGACAGGACAATTTTGTAATAGTCATAGTGCTAATATAATTGGAACCAGTAGATACATAAAAGAAGGAATACAGTAAAGTACACAAAAGGAAGCCAATGTTAATAATTTAGGTAGCTAAGTATGTTTAAGAAGCTGTTCACTATAGAATACAAAATAAGAGAGAAATAAAAGAGCCTAAAATTATGTTATTAACAACAAAGCAAGTCATAGGTTTCACGCTTAACATTGTCTCTGTCGCTTAGAACACGAGCCAAGTATGGTATCACTGAGTTCCTGTACTTGGTTGTACGAGCATATATTATTTTATACTGACTGCTGGTTCTACGCGATGAGATACAAGGCGAGAGTTGGGAATAGAGGGGGTGTTTGTGGTCTGAGAGTATGGTTTTAGACCATTTTTCGCATGTGTTCAGATTCCTTTCTACTAATGTAGTGACGAGCTGACTGAGTTTTACACCACTAGTCCTACTGACTACCTTTAACATCCTTCTCAGGATGGTATAGTCTTTTTTCAGTAGCCCAGGAAAGACTAACGGGGAGCAGTAAAGTAGAATAGGTAAGATACAAGAGTTGACAAATTGTGAGAGTAGAGGTTGGGTGATTCCAGATTGTTTAAATTTCATAATGTAGTAGGTTAGACAGAACACTTTCTTAGAAATTGTTAGGATGTGAGATGTCCAAGTAAGGTTGGAAGATAGACCTAGACGTACGTGGTCAGCGAGTAGTATATGTCTGGTGTGACATTTTATTTTTTTTGAGTGAAATCATTTGCGCTGTTCAACAAGTTACAAAATGAGACATAACTATTTTCATACTGTGTCCATCGAGTAAGGGAGTGGATGTGCCTGAATATTCAGACGAATCATCTCAACTTTCATTAGTAGTCTATGCTTACCAAACTCGTCTTTGTTTATGCTCATCATGTGAACCATGTTTTTTTAATTAAGAATAGTAGTTCTGTCCATATATATATATAATTAATATGTGTTTACAATTTACACTTGAATGACTGTATTCATCTAATTTTTTCTTTCTTCGCTTTAATTATATAGTTTTTATGATACAGAAAATGGGAATTTACTCAACTCAATGTGGTTAATAGCTGTAACATTTTTGAGTATCGGTTACGGTGATATTGTACCGCATACATATTGTGGTCGAGTTATTGCTTTAGCAACTGGTGTCATGGTAAGTCATTATAGTAAAATATCTCCCGGATAGTAGTCACAAGTATTTTGAATGTTAAAGGGTGCTTTGTATGGTTTAATTTGAATTCGGTCAAGTGATTGTTGATTAGACAGGTTGAACTACTGACCATTTTGACTGTATTGTGAATGCGTCTTGGAAGTAGGGCAGGGCGGTGTGTGAGTGTCTTCTTTTTCTGAATAGTAGTCACCTAGATGTGTAGGAAAAAGGCTGTGAACAACAAGATATGGAGATCCATAATTATTTTAATCAAAAAATGAGATCCGGATTTTCAACTTTAATGTGAAGTCAGCGCTACTGAACATACGGATCAGAGACTTGCACTATGCGTCATAAAGAGCATCTCAAACAAACTACAGACCTTCATTAACAGCTGTCTTTGCTGAATACTCAAGATCAGATGGCCAGTCGGCCAGAAAAGATCAGCAACAGAGATTTCTGGCAATGAGCGAACCAACTCAGCAGGAACCGATTGTGAAACAAATAGGTAAAAAGAAATGGAGATGGACTGGCTGGCCATACTCTGAGGAAACAAGTCATCAAGTGACATCACTAGACAAGTCATTGCTCGAGTGGAACCCGAAAGGGAAGCGGAGAGTTGGTCGTCAGTGCAAGGGTGACTTGGAGGAGGTGATGTGAAGAGGAGATGAAAACGTGTGGGCAAACATGGAGCCAGGTGAAGACTCTAGCTGAGAACCGAAGGCAATGGAGACTTGGGGCTGAAGCCCTATATTCCTCTAGGAATTAAAGGAAACAATAATAATAATAGCGACCTGTTGTCTGTGAGTTTGTCTTCTAAGCAGAAGGTCCTATGTTCTAATCTCGATGGGTGGGCTCCGTCGATGAGTCTTGAACTATTACAAAATCAGCACTGCCGTACTCACGGTCGATTCATTCCAGCTTTTGACTATTCATAAGCAACCAACCCTGGTATTTTTCCTCACCGGAGAAAGAAGCAAGGATGCCTAGGATACAATGCGAAATTACTGACAGCTTAGACACTGAGACAGAACACAGTGAATGGTGAATTTTAACTCCAACTAGCTTGAGATAAGTCACTCCGTAGCCAGCTAATGTTGTCGATGAGTGTTCATCCTCAACCGAACGCAATGGAGACGCACGGGTGAAGCCTTATGTTCCTCTAGGAATTAGAGGAAACAATAATAATTATTATTTTGATTGCAGCTTGATTCCACACTGTATTTTTTTAGTACACGTATAGAATTTTCAGCATGTGATATCGGTAGCCCAAATTTTGCAGGCCGACCATATATATCTGGTGTGCATTGACAGGTGTTCGAAATCCAGAGCATGTGCATGGTCGGTGAGAGTCCTAACCACTGTGCCACCGACGCAGAGCTGGGCACTAATTTGATAAGGGATGATAATCGATCGGGAACAACTAACCTATGCGTTACTATCTTCATTATACAACATTTTCTCTTGCGAATGCCTGGTAAACTTTAGACGGCTGGAAATATTTTGAGATCGGTTCATCTAAGTAGAGTAGACTATTAACTAGATGACTCCGAGTTTAATTCACAAGATTCTTTACATTCCCAGTGAAATATAGGGGGCTTCAAGCTAGAGTCTTGAAGTTTCGTTAGCAGCAGTGGTTTTTATTTTTGCGGGATAAGGTTGCTAGCCTCAAGCCTAACCTTCTCTCTTTAGTGGTCTTAATACCTGCTTAGCGAGGTTCTGGAGTGCATCCGTGGTCGGAGATCGAACCCCGGACCACATGTGTGGTTGGCGAGCATTCTACCACTGCGCCACCAACTCGCATCACTGCTTTTTTGAGAGTATTTAATTACTTCAGAATATGAACTAGTAAAATGAATCGCGAGTATATTAGCTGATCCTAAACCTGAGAAATAAAGGTAGGATAAGGATGGATCGTTGACATGTGACTCACTGGATCAGGTACTAAATCGATAGCTAGTGGGTCTAGGTGTTTGAGTGCTACATTGCCAATCTAGTACTTAGGCACATGAAAGATAGGTTTTGGGTATATGACCTCTTATTGTTCATTTTAGCTGCTTTAAATTCACATTTTCTCGTCCATGAAAAAGAACGGTACTAGATATTCAGGAGATAATAGATTTCTTTACTTTTATTTCACTTCATAAGAACTGAACAGCTCACTTGGAAATCTGAAAACTTTAGACTTTATCTGGTGAATTCGAGCTAGAAGTAACCTATATGTTGTCTAAAGTAGATGGGAAAAAATTTAAAAGCGATATTTCTGTTGGTGACTTATATGCTCACCTTTATCTCCGGCAGAGCTCGAAGCCGGAACTACTGATGAGTCCCGAGGCTGGAAGAAACATAAATACATACATCCACTGATCTAACTGATGTTCATTGGTGAAATCAGTCGAATTCGCATGAATTCAACATTTGAAAATTCTACCAACAATATGTAAGAAGTAATTACACGGAATAAAACCTCAACATAGAAACAGTATTGTTCAGTTACATGTCTTATTTAAGAGATGTGATTTACTCATGAGCATATTAGAAACATGATGCAATTATAATTAACTATTATTCTTTTAGTTTACTAGTGGAACATAATGCTTCAATTTGTTCGCCGCAGTATTCTTTAATTGACTCGGTTATCACTGATAGACTTTCACTGCCTCGTCACAAGATTTTCTCCATGTTATCCTTGGAATAAGACACAACTCGTATTTTCCTACTAGGGTTCCAACTGAAGGCTTGTCTAGACAGTGATCTGTCTCAATGGCTTCCTCAGCCTATGTCCAGTCTTCCTCCATTTCATTCGCCATATTCGTTGGATGATGGGTTATTTGGCTAAATGATTGACAAAAGTCCTTGTTGCTTGTATTTTTAGGCTGGTCAGTCATCTGATTTTCCGTGTGTTGATCCATCGAAGGTAACTGTTAACTAAAGCCTTCAGTGTTACTATGTGGTTCAGAAAGTTGGCACCACGCCACTTCACGAAGGCCACCTCGAGCAAACTACAGACCTCCATCAAGAGCTGTCTTCGTCCAGTACTACTCAGCATCAGATGGCACACCAGAAACGACCAGCAATAGTGATGGATCCCTGGCAATGAGCGGACCAACCCAACAGGAACCGATTGTACAAGAAACATGCAAGGAGTATTGGAGGTAGATTGACCACACTCTGAGAAAACAAACCATCAAGCGACATAACAAGACAGGCTCTCGAGTGGAACCTGAATAGGAAGTGGCGAGTTTGTCGTCAGTGCGAGGGTGGGGGGACATGTAGGAGGAGGTGATGTGAAGAACAGATAGATGAAAGCATGTGCGGAGACGTGCAGCCAGATGAAAACGTCGGCAGAGAACGGAAGGCAATAAAGACGTGTAGTTGAAGCCGTATGTTCCTCTAGGAACTAACGGAAACAATAATAATACATATTAGTTTGTTTATTAGGTATATCACACAGTGAAACAGTATTATTTACTGGATGACGTTTCGAACAAAATTTATTGTTCATAATCATATCAATTGATATGATTATGAACAATAAATTTTGTTCGAAACGTCATCCAGTAAATAATACTGTTTCACTGTGTGATATACCTAATAAACAAACTAATATGGAATTACTTACTACCACAGTGCCCAAGTTTTACACATATAATAATAATACAGCCTTCAGTGGCCTATTGAAAATGCTTCCCTTGACTCATCAAGCTACTGAACCACGCAGAAGATCTAAATCGACATAACTGTTAAAAATCCGGAATTTTTTTATCCTCGTGCTGAGTACACTAGATACCTATTTAAAAATTTATTTTGTAAATTGTCAATCACCTTATGAATAAAGGAAAAGTTATCAAAATCTAATTTCACCATGATAACTATTCCCATACTTCTTGAAAAGCACTACAACTTAACACCTATATAATATTTGGGATCCCCTCAAGTGAACACCCGTCAATCCTTCAGGAAATCTAAGACTAGATGCTTATGTTTATTAGCACTTATGGGTCCGTATTATCTCCAATACACAGAAATTTCACAATGACTTCAATCTGTACACTGACCTACATCATTTGTAAACTTTTACTACTTCACTGTTCCCATCACATCAATACAGTGGTTTCTGAAGATCCTCATTTCAGATGCCCGTAGCTCAATGCTATCCCAAAATGTAAATCAATACTCTCCAATTCTTGTTTCTACCTTTTCATAATAATAAGAAGAGGAAGAATAATTTGCTTTATTCCAAAACAGCACCTGTGACACCGAATGAAATTCTCAGCATTTTTACTACAGTATTGCATCCAGTTAGTACATTATCAATAAATAGAATTCTACATAGATTAAGGGTAATCTCAGTTCGTTTTGTCAACAACATATTCGCATATCGATAGCAAAGCCAAAAGTGAACAGAATGTTTGAAAGTGTTAGAAAAGTAGATACTAGCATATTTACTGGTATTTGGAACGTCGCAACTCGAACTGCTGCACTTCAATGCCAAGTTCTATGTTGAATCCAGACAGACAGACTGGTATAAGCGGTAACAAAAAGGTCGAGATATACAGATTGTGAAAGAACGAAGAAGAATGTTTTAAGTAAAGTTTGTAAGGAAGAATGAAACAAAACAGCACATAGCAAAAAAAGAGACAGAAAAGGAAAAGAAAGAAAGAAAATGTTCTACTCATAAGTGATATGAGTTGGAGAGACGAGATCCAGTTGTTGTACTGACTACTTAATGAATTATAGGTGTCACGCCTAATGCTTTCTTTATCGCACAGAACACGAGCTAAGTAGGGTATGGTTGAGTATTTGTACTTGCTAGTGCGAGCATATAGTTTTCTATATAGGCTTCTGGTCGTGCCAGATGAGATACAAGGGGAGAGGTGTGAATGAAGAGGGTGGTGTGAGTTTAACAGAATGGATTTAGCTCATTTTTAACATGAGTTCATTAGTGCCTGTCGACCAGAATATTAACAAGCTGGTTAAGTGGCACGTTGCTTACCCTGCTGACAACCTTTAACATCCTGCGTAATATGTTATAGTCTTTCTTCAGTAGCCCTGGGAAAATTAAGGGGGAGTAAAAGAGAATAATAGGCAGGATGTAAGAGTTAACGAATCGTAAGAGTCAGGGTTGGGTTATTCCAAAATGTCTTAACTTCTTGATGTAGAAAGTAAGACGGAATATTTTCTTAGAAACTATCAAGAGTTAAGACGACAAGGAAAGATCAGCCGATAGAATGACGCCAAAATATTTAATTTCCGACTAACATTCTGACTGGAATGTAAGACTTCAGCTTGAGGTCTTGAAGTTTCATGAGTACTTGTGGTGTAGTCTTTACAACCACTTCCCTACCAGCTTAGAAAAGTTTAAGTGTGTGTCTTCGGGGAATCGTACTAGTCAGAACTGTATCGCTAAACCTCCAAAGCAAAGAATGTTTGTCACCAGGTCAAGAGTAGAGATAAGATGAGATAGAGTACTGTTTATCATTTTTGCTCAACTCTTTTTCATGTCTTTCATGATTCAGTTACTGTCACTATTATTATTCTTATTATCAGGGTTCTGGTTGTACAGCACTTGTAGTAGCTGTATTTGCAAGAAAATTGGAATTATCCAAAGCTGAAAAGCATGTGATCCACTTTATGATGGAGAATCAGTTAAATAAAAAGGTAAATTTTGAATTGAAACAATTCAAAAAGTATTTATTGTTACTATTATGATTGTTCTTATTGTCATCATTGTTCCAATGTCTACTGGTTGAATAAAAATCAAAATTTATTTTCAATGTTTCAATTCAGTTGATTTATTAAAACAAAGTGAATAAATAAATAAATCCAAAATGTTCAACAGTTATTCAAGCGAGGGATCTATTATGATGTTCAGTTTGTTACATTTTATTACAACCACTATTATCATTATTATTATTATTATTGCTATTGCCATAAAACAATTTTGTTAACAACCAACCATTCAAATATAAATTGAAAATCTCAAGAGATTTCAAAATGGGGACTAGATTACGTCATTCGAAACAGTAGCAAAATACAATCTGTCAACGTATTTAGATTACATAACAGAAAATTGAAGCTACAAGCTATAGAAAGAAAAGAGCGTGTCTGTGTGATTTAAGAAAGCAGTAGAAAACAGAATTGCGTGAAAAATTGAAAACACATATAGAAGACAAATTTGTTATTTTGTAGCGATTATGTCTCATTTTGGTGTGTAGGTCTGATTGTAAACAGACGTCAGTTAACGCTCCGGTTATTTGATCTGTCAAAATTTAGAAGCCTTCAGTAAAATACATCCCCAAAGTCGTGGGTTCTATCACTGGTTGGATCTTAAGCGAGCTCATTACAAAAGATTTCAGTGTCCTTGGGTTTTCAGTGGTGTGCTGACTCATGCAGATTCGTAACGAGATGTAATATTAAGCAGGCTTTTATAGTTCCACATTAGTTTGTTTATTAGGCATATCTCACAGTGAAACAGTATTATTTACTGGATGACATTTCGAACACAATTCATCATTGTTCATAATCATATCAATTGCAATCACACGACTTTGACACTTGAGTTTTATAGTTTTCTTTGTTCTCTCCTATTTGTCGTATGGGTAGTAGAATTTTCCAGATATCGGGGACTGGTGATGATTCATTCCTGTTGCATGTATTTGTAGTTGATTCGATAAACAAAGCTTCTGTTATCAATCTCTCCTTTTACCCTGTGACATTAGATTTTGAAACTGTCATCCTATCCCATCCATCCTATTGTATGGTTGTGTGTAACTGCATGTAGTGCTGTAGCTGAGCTATTCTCTAGATTTCTTATCTTATTCTAATCAACCAA